TGACTTTTGTTGGTGTACCCGTCTGTGGCTTACGAGACGTTCAGATTCAGGACCCGCACCACAGTGGGGATGCAGCGTTCCCTGGCCCCCTCCGGAGTCACACCCTCTTCACGCCTCCAACCCCGAGGACCACCGACTGTTCTCCAGCCCCAAAGTTCTGTCTTTCCCAGAATGTCACAGAAATGCAATCGGACTGCCCATCACCCCTGGAGACTGGTCCTTTCTCAGCACAAGGCCCCGGGAACAGCCCGCGTGTGTGTGAAGAGCCTGTCCCGGCTCTGCTGAGCGTGGGGGGCACCACCTGCTCGTTCCCTCACTTCAGGAAGGCACCGTAGTTTTCCCAGGTTGGGGTGATGACGAATACAGCCACTCGATGTTCGCGTACGGGCTTTTGTGTTTTCATTTCTGTAGGGACGTATCCAGGAGCGGGAATGCTGGGTCACGTGGTAATTTACATTTATAAGGAGTTGTCAAGTCCCTCCAGAGTGGCTGCGCCATCTTGCATTCCCACCAGCAGCGCAGGAGCTCTGGCTGTTCCGCATCCTCTCGGCACTGGTGTTTTCACCTGTGATCTGATCCATGCCGGGGGGTGTGCAGTGACAGCTCACGTGGCTTTAATTGGGTTTGCATCACTTAATGATTGATGACTGTGAGCATCTTTCCATTTGCATGCCTGCCGTCCTGAAATCCTCTTTGGTAAGGTGTCTCTTCATGTCTTTTGTCTATTTTTTAATTGCTTTTTCCCCCTTATTTTTGAGTTTTGAGGTATCTTTATATAACACATTCTGGACACAGGTGTCCTTTGTCGGATGCGTGACTTGCGAGCACTCCCAGGCCCCCGGCTTGTCTTCACTCTCCAGCGATGCCCTTCAGAGAGCACACAGTTCACGTGTGGACGACGTCGATTTGCCAGCGTTTTCCTTCTGTGGGTCCTGCCTGAGACGCCATGGTGCCACGCACATTTCCAGTTTCAGAAAGGGACCAGCAGGTGGTTGTCCTGACACCAAAATCTCGGTCAAGGGAGGACTGTCTGGAGGGAAGGACCATAGACAGGCAGAACTGAACCAAACGCCAGGTTCCCTTTCTGCAAGATAAGGGGCTTTGACGACACTTAAAAACATTTCTTTAAATCACTCAGTGATTTTTCATAGCTCTTTTTCCTCCGTAGACTCGGAACACGTGACGCTGTTGTCCGAGCCCAAGTGGCTCAATAAACACCAGCAGCACCCTGTGTGGAGCAGCCACGACATGCGTGACCAGGAGGGGACAGGGCGGCACACACTTGAGTCACCCAGGATGGAGACGGGACACGGCCCAGCACACGGAGAGGGAAGCCCTGCCAGGGCTCCCGTTTCAGCGCCGCCCTAGCTGGCGAGAAAGGAGCAATGCGACTCTGCCCACATTCAAAGGAAACTCTGGAAATATCCAAAGGGAGGCAAACCCAAGAAAATTTTAAACTAAGAACTGTCTGAACAAGACAATAGAAGCAACCTAGCTATGATAAAATGTAACTTTGTTGAAATGTTAATGGATAAGGTTTATTTAAGACATTTTGGCCAGGTGTGGTAGCTCAGGCCTGTAATCCTAGCACTCTGGGAGGCCAAGGCAGGAGGATCACTCGAGGCCAGGAGTTGAGAGCAGCCTGGGCAACATAGTAAGACCCTGTCTCTACTAAAAATAGAAAAATTAGCTGAATGGGGTGATGCCTGCCTGTAGTCCCAGTTACTCGGGAAGCTGAGGCAAGAGGACTGCTTGAGCCCAGGAGTTTGAGGTTGCAGTGAGCTGTGATGACGCCACTGCACTCCAGTCTGAGCAAGACTTTGTCTCGAAAAAATAAAAAAACTGTCTCTCTCTCTCTCTCTCTCTCTCTCTCACACACACACACACATGTTAAATATCCCTTATCTGAAGAGCTTGGGACCAGAAGTATTCTGGATTTTGGATTTTTTCAGATTTTGGAATGTCTGCATTATACTTACTGGTTGAGCATCCCTAATCCAAACATCTGAAATCTGAAATGCTCTAAAATCTGAAACTTTTCGAGTGCTGATGTGATCAAAAGGAAGACTCAGCGGAGCACTTCAGACTTCGGATGTTCGGATTACGGACACTCAACCCATAAGTGTGTGTATACACATACGTACAAGACAATATGCGGTGTGGATAACAGAATTCTGTAACTCAGAAAATGCAGGGGGAGTAAAACCTCAAAAGAAAGAGCAGAGCAATGCCTGATAAACAGAGCTCTCACGGAACAGCTTTGCAAAACCGAAACCTCGTCAAGGAACCAGAGCAAACAGACGGGGGGACATGACAGATCATTTAATCTTGCATTTTCTTATTTTTAAACAATTCCTTTGCATGTGCTGTTTCTCGATGATCACACGGTCCGTCGGCATTTGTAAATGATTTTCTAAGTCACAGCCCTTCTTTGAGGTGTCTGCATGGCAGGACCCGGGAGCCTAGCTTAGAACTCAGCAGCGGCAGCCCCTGAACCTGTACGTCTCCAGAAGAGACCTGCGGAGTCCGACTGGGACGTGGGGAACCTGGGGGACTCTTTACAGGGAACGTATGAGGCCTGTGCCGCTCAGCCCTCGTCTGCCGCACGGACTCGGTGTTCCACCACCACGGGCACCCCTATCTCCGACGGCGAGTGTGCACTTGTGAGCAGGAAGAGCACACAGTAGACAGCAAGACGACAGTGAGCCACGTGGACAACCCACATGTCATCCGTGGTCAGACCCACCACCGCTCGCCGTTAGCAGAGAACTAGCAAACCTGTGGGCCTGGGACACAGCATGTACCCAACAACTAGCTGCTAACAAAGCAAGCAGGTGACAGTTTCCTAGTGTGCGCCACGCTGTGCACTGAGAGGAGCGGATGGGGATGCGTGAGGAATGAGTCTAGAATGTGTGCCACAAGTGACCACCGCTGACCCCAGGTAAACCAACCCCGGGCAAGCCACGGTGCTCAGTGTGACGCTGCTGAGGCCTGTGGTCCCTGCTTCTCCCACTGCATCTGCACCAGGCCAAATGGCCTTCTCTTAGCTCTGCGGGCAACTCCCTCAGCCCCCGGAGCGCAGCTCTCCCACCTGCAAAGCTCCCACTGCTTCAAAGCCTGGCTGCCGGCACCCGCCCTCCACCAGTGACCGGGACCTGGAGCCTGCCTGGTTGTGGCCATTCTAACAAAGGCTTCCAAATCACTGTCAGGCAGGCGCGGGTTTTGAAATAACCAGACGCGGAACCTTTCCCTGTGCCCTGCAGGCACCACCCCATGTTGTACCAGTTCTTTCCTGTCACCGCCCCCGCCACCTTATGCAGTGAACAAAAGTGCCCTGAAGTGAACAAATGCAGAGACCCGTCACGGGACGGCCTCAGCCGTGTATTCAAAGCTGAAAAGGAGACGCCACACTTGCTGAATTGTCTGTGGTGTCCTCACTGTATTTTGTTGATTCTTTCTCTTAAATTTACCTGGGTACATCTATTTTACATGACTATATTTTTATAAAAAAATTAAACAAGACAGAAAAAAGTCAAAGTCCCTTAACACAGCTCTTTCCTCTCCTTTTTCCAAATTCTACTTTCCTGCCCAGAGCGAACTCATGTGTGATGTATTGCGCCTTTTAAAAATGTGTATTTATACTCTGGGAGTTTGCATTGTTTGAAAACCACTCCGGGCACCCTGATGTGTGTATTTTTCGGAAGACAGCACAGGCGCAGCCGCTGAGCCCTTTCCACCTGCCACGTGGTGAGTGTCCACCGCGGAGGGGACCCAGCTGATGCTGTGCCCCTGCTGGAGAACATTCCGGCATGACGCGCTCGCACACTCTCCCGACACGTAGCAAGCACTGTTCTAGGGGAGAGACTTAGAAGTAGATTTGCTTTTCCTGCCTAATTTAACAAATTTAAGCCTTAGTCATTTTAACATATGATTCTGTATATTAAGAATTTAGGAAATTATCTCATATGTTAATTCTAGAAGAAATTGGTTGGCCATGGTTGGCCAGGCGCGGTGGCTCACGCCTGTAATCCTAGCACTCTGAGAGGCCGAGGCGGGAGGATCGTTTCAGCTCAGGAGTTTGAGACCAGCCTGAGCAAGAGTGAGACCTCCAACTCTACTAAAAATAGAAAGAAATTAGCTGGACAACTAAAAATATATAGAAAAAATTAGCTAGGCATGGTGGCACATGCCTGTAGTCCCAGCTACTCGGGAAGCTGAGGCAGGAGGATTGCTTGAGCTCAGGAGTTTGAGGTTGCTGTGAGCTGGGCTGACGTCACGGCACTCTAGCCTGGGCAACAGAGTGAGACTCTGTCTCAAAAAAAATAAAAAAATAAAAAAAAATAACTCCATAGTTTTTCCATAGTGCCTATGTGGGTCAGGATGAGTCAAATGCACATACAAACCAACTAATGAGGGTCAAGTTTAGGGTCATGAGATGTTATTTCAGATCCAAATAGATCAAAACTAGAGGCAGAGGACACGGAGGCACAGTGGGAGGCGAGCGCAATTAAAACACCGCATGAAGGACATCTGGCGAAGCCGTGGCATTTTACGATTCAGCTTCTGAAATCAGTTTGTGCTGAGATGGTAAAATGAGCAGGGGTGGGGCATGGAAAGTTACAGAATATCACAGGGAAAGTTTAAGAAAACAGGTAGACACGGAGCTGTGACCCAGCTACCTCAGGCAGTGAGAGCAGAAAGGATTTGTATGTTTAGCAACATGCTTTTGCTTTAGTTTGAGGTCTGCAGTATTCTTAAATGTTCAAAGGAATTCAGCTTTTTATTACATTTTTCTTTTAACGTGGCCCGTGTTTGGCTACCTCCTACACCAAGCCCCAGTGTAACAGTCGCAAACAGCCTTATTCAGAGAACAAAGGCGGCATCCACACGAAGGGGACATCCCCACGGGGACAGGAAACTGCTGAGGACCAAGAACCTTCAGACGAGGAGAGAATTCCATCAGATCCAGAAAGCCGCGAGAGCTTAAAAATCTGACTTACTTTTCTATCAAATCCAGGGTGACTCCAGGCACCAGACTCACACATTTCTGCATGCAAAACCTGCAGAGAAAGAAAACACTGTGAGTGACACAAATGCAATATTTAACCAGAAAATGCAACCGATCAGCAGAAAGAAGGAGGAATCGAAAGTGTGGATGGGGGCTGCCGTGGTCCTAACTCTGGCAGCTTCAGACGTGTGAAGAAAACCTTATTGCCACGCCGTGGACGGCACGAGGCTCCACAGCGGCGACCGTCAGTGATCCCGAGAAGGACACCAGTCTGCACTCGCAGGAGGCCTGGTCCCCCGAGAGGGGCACAGAGATGCTTCACAAAACTGAGCTTCCAAACCAGACACTGGCGTGGACTGGACTTCGCACTCGTTTCCCACTTAGGGAAGTGAGCCGAGGCGGGCGCAGGAGGAATGCCGCACAGCCTCAAGGCACAAAAGAAACGCAAGTTCAGTCCTACCATTCCCACTGTAAAATGCTGCAGGTCAGAGCTGAGAGGCTCCCGTCTGGGGCATCCCATCCTTGCGAGCGGGCGCGGAGCGGCCAGAGGAGGAGCGACTCACAGGAGGTGGGAGCACAGCTCTCCCTGCCAGGGCGACTGGCACACAGCAGGCAGCGCCGGGGAAGGCAGCGAAAAGGCAACTTAGTATTTTTAGGAGGAGAAATGTAAAGTCACCTGCTTTCAGAATTAAGAACAGCCCCTCAAACCATGGTGGCAGGACGCAAGTGTCACAGCGACACAGCGTGCTCCCGCGTGCCGCCGGCTGGAGTGAGGAGCGGAGACAGCTGGAGAAGGGCCCTGGCCCAGGCTGAGGGGCCGAGTTCTCTGCCTTGAGAAGCAAAGCCCAGCCTAGCCGCCAGAGAGAAGGTTCTAGTCATGCCTGTGGCTGTAGTAGCTAGTGTTTCATCGTTCCAAGAGTCAGAGAAATAAAAGGGAGGCGCATCTTTGCCTGACGTCGGAGAGCAACCCTCTCCCCTGGGCATAAAGCGCCGAGCGGCCTGGGTGCTGTACGTGGCCGGTCGGCCCCATCTGAGCAGGTCCTTCTGTCAACTTCACTTCAGAAAGCTGAGCGTGGGCCACTCCCTGCTCCCCCGTAGCCACCGAGCCAGTGCAGACGCACGCAGCTCCTACAGCGGCTGCACATAAATCAGAAGCTCTCAGTGGATAAAAACATTCTACAGGAAACGCATTTTCGATTCTGAGTCCTATGCAAACCACGCTACGCTGTTGTCTTTTCATCCATAATGTACTTATCGATTGGGATTTCTGGAGTCCAGTAACGACAGAATCATTTGTATCAGGCTAATCCTTTTGCCAATAACAATAATAAACTGGACAAAATGAAAAAACCAACTGAAAACACAAAAGAGAAAACAAATGCAGCAGAAACGGGAGGAGACGGCTCTGGACGAGGGACTTTACCCAGCCTTTCCTGAGGGTGCCCTCGAGTCACGCAGCACCTGGGCTGCCCTCAGCCGGGGGCAGCAGCCTCACCGGGTGGAGGAGTCTCAGAGCAGGATTCAAGCCTGCCAGGAAACTGCAGGAAAAGCCTCGGAAAGGAGGGAGCCCCAATCTCCACGTGACCTCTCCTCAAGTCCGAGGCCGATTCCTGGACGGCACAGGACAAAGCTCCCAAGGTCCCTGTGGAGGACAACCGAACGGCCAAAAGTGCAGAGCAGAGATTTCAACGTCTGCTTGCCGCTGTGAGGGCAGAGAGGGAGATCGGCCACGCTCGAGGGGCCTGACGACATCTGGGACTTTTCACAGACACCCCAGAGGGTCACACCTCAGTTACAAACCACACTCCGGGATTCAGAGCCACACCTGAGAACCAAGAGCAAAGCCGAAAGAGTCCTACAGCCAGCCCCCCACAAGATCAGCATGGCTGCCTGCAAGAGCAGCTAGACGCTCTTCGGAGGATAACAACAGAATCTAGCGTCTCTACACGTTCCGTCCACAACAGACGGTGCACTTTCTAAAATCAAGGGAAAAAAGTCAATAAAAGCAGATTCATAGTTGGCTAGATCTTAGAATTAGTAGAGAAAGACTTTCAAATTATAAAAATAACTTAATTATTAAGTGGGAAATAAGTATTATTATAAATCTACCAAAAATATAAAGTTCTCTTAAATAGGAAATTAAAACAGGAACATCACACAATTTTAAAATATTATGGTATCATTATGTAAGAGTAGCACGGATAAGGCAGTCACTGATAATCCACAAATTTCACTTTAGCCAATAATATCAATTCTCTTTACACCAGAATTACTAACAACTGGTTCCATGTTTACGCTATTTTTTTTTCTTCCTCTACATTACAGTGTTGTTGGACAACGAAAGGAAAAAGAGTAGACAAAGGCAGCGGTAATAAGAATGGCTCAAAAAATCTACAAAACTGGATATAAATAATTACAATGAACATAACAGCTGACACTTATTTAGTGCTTACTACTTGGCAGTCACTGTCCTATGTGCTTTCACACGGATTGTTTAACTCTCACACAACATTCTGTGGGTTTATGATCCATTCTGCAGGTAAAGAACACCTGTAAATTAGGTACACGTCATGCAGTTTACAAATAATGAAGACAATGAAAAGAGCAGATCACATTAAAAGAAACAAGAATCAGATGAACACAGGAAGCAGGAGACAATAGAGTAATATTTTTAATTTACTGAATAAAAAGAAGTTAAAACCTAGAATTTCACGTCCAGCCAAACTGTCACTCAAACGTGAGAGCATGATAAAAATATTCTCCGGCACATACGGCCTCAGGAGGTTTGCCATAAGAAGGCCGATGAGGAAGACAGTTTTCCATGACAAGCTTCAGTTGGAGGGAGAGAAATCCCAGAGATGCATGAGGAGACAGATGAAGTAACGATGACACGTAACCTCAGTAAAGTGTGTTGTTATCTTACAATGAAAAGCGAAAAGCAAAGGAGCATACCATCTACCATAACTAGGACTGAAAGCCTAGGTGACACGACGTGACGGCGTGGCGTAGGGGATTCTGACCAACGAAGGATTACTGCTATCACAGATATGCCAAGAACTCCTGTAAGTCAGCAAGAAGGGCACACAAAATCCAATAGAAAAATGGGCAAGAGACTTGACCGCGCATCGCGAAGATGAGGAAATACACGTGGTCTGCCCTCCCACTGCTCCCGACTGCACGAGGCCTCTGGGAGCGGCTGCGGTGTTTGGAGGCCATGGGAATCTGCCGGTACAGGAGGGGCGCGTGTGCTAGCGCCAGGGCTGGAAGGTGAGGCAGGGCCACCGACGGGAGAGGCGGTCACCCCGCTGTCTGCAGCACCACATTCATGTTGCAGGAGAAGGGGACTCACGCTCAAGGCATTTCGCCCAGGGTGGACGCGGAGGGGTGACTGGTCCGCGTCCCAGTCCTTATCCCAAAGGCGCTGGTTCCCGCTGGGGGCTCCGGAGCAGCTGGGTGCTCGGGAGCTTTGGGACTGGGACAAAGCCTTGAGGAACCGAACCATTCACTTAACTTCAGCCTCAGGTTACTAAGAAAATCCCACAAGAACCCTACTGGGGGGCAGGCGCTGGGCTTCACGTGGCCTCTCCCAAGAGGGCAGCACCCCACGCCCAGAGGAAACAGAGGAAGAGGGAAGGCTGCCGGCGGGCACTGAGCACGGCGGGAGCTCGTGGAGAGCGGAGGGGGGGCAGGCGTCTCTGGGGCTTACAAGGAGCTCACAGGCCCTCATCTGTTTTCTAGTTGCTAAGGCCGGGCCGGGTCTGTCTCGTTCTCAGGAACTGGGGGAGACAGAGCGGCTCCCAGGCGCTCACGCCATTTTCGGCTCCTCCGTCTGTTTGGAAGCACACCACTTCCAAACGGTGGCTTTACCGCCACAGAACTGCACAGCTGCTGGCCCCGGCTCAGCTCCTTCCCTGTGCACACCCAGGCCTGGGGTCCTCACCTGGGGTGCTGTGGACGCTCTGGGCTGGAACATTCTCTGCCATGGGGGCTGTCTTGTGCAGCACGTTCAGCGGCATCTGGGCCTCCACCCACAAGACACTGGTACTCCTACCACGCCAGTTGTGACAACCGAAAACGTTTCCAGACACTGCTAAGTGTCCCTTGGGGGACACACCGCCCCCACCCAAAGCCACAGCTCTAGGCCAAGCACCAGCATCTCTCTCACATTTCCAGAACAGTCTCTGCTGTCAGTCTTCCTCCCTCCTCTCCCAAATCAATCCTCTCCCCTGCAGCCAAGGTCAGCCAGTGGAGAGGAAATGCTGAAACAAGTCTTTTCCTCACTAAAACCCTCCAAAGCTTCCTGTCCTCGTAGAATTAAGTCCAAAGTCCTTCCCTGGGCCCACAAAGGCCCCAGCCACCTCCCTGACGTCACTGCCTCACCCTCCTCCTCACTCCCTGGGCACTGTCCACCCACCCACCGCTGCCTGTGCCTTTGATGGGCCGAGCACGGTCCCGCCTCACGGTCTCTGCACTCGCTGTTCCCTCCGCCCAAATGCGCCTAGGTAGCCGTAAGGGTTACTCCCTCGTTTTATTTAGAATTCTACCTTCCCTGACCAGCCCAGGGAAAGCAGCACCTCCATTCTCCACCTATTATTTTCTTTCTACGAAGAGCACCTGTCACTCCCTGATGCCTATCTTTGCTGCTCATCCTCATCATTAGAACGTTCTAGGAGCTCGAGGACTTTCCTCACTTCATTTGTTCTACGACCCCAGGGCTGGGTACCCAACAGACACATGTCCGAAAGTGATTATGGAAAGAGGCTGATTCGTAGCGTTGATGGGTTTCTCACGTTTCACATATATCCTTTTCCCGATCACTCTCGTAACCGACCTGGCTGTTTCCGCGGGTCACTTCTGTTTCCTGTAGTCACTTTCCTTTTTCTGTCCAGAAGTATTCCCCGACCACGTGGCAGCCCGAGAGTCGCTCTCAACCTCTCTGGTTCTGAGGGCTCCTGATTTGCAAACCACTATTTGCTCAATGAAATCCTGTTAATTTTTTATTTTACAGTAGCGTAATCAGAAAAATCCTGTTAAATTCAATTTGTCTAAAGG